CCAACTAGAGGCATAATAAGCGAGTCAGTCTGATATAAGCAGCTGGCAATTTCAAACAAATATCTTCCTTTTCTACTCAGACCAAATCCTGCTGCAGAGGTCTCAGGCCCCTCCCATGCTTCCACCTATTTTTCAAACAGCGCAGCAGGGAATTCTGCATTTTCTCTCAATTAGGTAGCACATCAAAAACTTGATTCCCCAGACAGAAACAAATTCTGTATAAAGTCCTACATCCACTGTTTTTTCTGTGATTCATAACATAGGCCAAGGAGTACCCTCAGCTCTAGGTGTATAACGTGACTAACATGGCTAAGAAAATGATTCTTACTCCTTCAATTTGCCATCAAAACTCTGATAATTCTCATACTTCAAGGAAAGACAAGAGCACAGAAGAGGAATCAGTCAGATGAAATGAACAGTCGTATACATCAAGCAAAACTGGCCAATAATCCTAGTGTTTTAAAAATACTACGACATTATTCCAATAAGCAGAAAATTCCTTATCCCTGTCTTTATATCAAAGATACTTAATGTGACCCTTACATCTCTCCCTGAGGTATTCAGCAAACAAAATCCATATGATGGAAAAACTGAGTGAGGCAGGATGGGATTACAAATTCCTTGCTCAGTGAGGGCTCATATGAAGTAGACAGATTCTGCTTCATTGTTCCTTTATTATCTCTCATAGTTCCCTTCACAAAGTGTTAAGAGTTTAATATATTCTGTCAAAATAAGAGGATTCTCTAATGTTTTCCAACACCCGTCCCCCACCAAGTTACAGGGTATCTTTTTTCATAAGAATGCAACTAATTAAACAAAATATGTACCGAGATATTAAAGAAATGATATTCTATCAACCTTTGGTGAACTTCCCTGAACCTTTCCAAGAGAAATCAATCATTGCATCAAGGGAAAGGTTAAAAATGCCATTTCACTACATATTTTGGAATTTTTGGCAGCAAGGAATGGTATCAATCCCTGTTTATCATAGGTACATTATACCTATTTTCTAAGGAGTGCCTCTGAAAGGATTTTTTTTTTGTTTTTACAAATAACTACCAGTTGTATTACTAAATATTATCTTACGGAGTCAAAGTTTTGTTTGTTTTAAACAAACATCCCTATCAATAAGTTTTGGTTTTCAATAGCCAAAACAATTTTTATAAAAAAAATTCACTGCTAGGCCTTTTAGTTTCAAATTAAACTGACACATCACCAGAGGTGAACCACAAGTTATAAAAAATGTTTACTTTATTCATGATCCAATTTCTCACTGATAAGATGTATCCCACAATCATTAACTGTCCTTAACTGTGGCCTAATGTTTCATAAGTTATTTGAATATGAAGAGGATAAAGTAAAAGTGGTTGTCTGCACACCTACATTTTCTACCATATTATTTTCCTGTCCAAAGGAAAAAAAACAAAGTAGCCACTCTCCTCCAGAAAGGCCAAAATAAGCCCAGAAAGTACGTAAGTTCCTGGACACAAAACACTATCAAAAGATATTAAAAATTTCAAGCACACTGGTTAAATAAATCCTATGAAAAGGCCCTCTATGCTCTTAAGGAAATGATCTTACATTAAGATCACAAGGGGGTTCCAAACAGGAAATACAAGTTAAAAGCAATTACTTTATAAGGTAACTTTCATGTTACATAATAACTTAAAGACATTTATATCTGAACCATGTTAAACAGCCAGTATGAGTGAAACCATTTTACCTGATATGACATCTTTTATATGTGATAGTAATAAGAATTAGAACCACCTAAAATATTATCCATTAAAGGTTCTGTTTCATTAGTCTGCTTACATCACTGAGTGACAACGCAAGCAACCTTTGTGAATGACAAAACTCATTTCCATTCTTTTTGGTTCCCGCCACAAATGCCAGAGTCACACCACACATTATAGATGACTGGGTACATGTGCACAAAACTGAACGTATCAAAATTCTTAGGGAAAAAAATACATGGGCTGCAAGAGTCGTAGGGATGTAACTGATGGTATATTGGGGTGGTGGTTCTTCTTCAAGTACTTCCATACTCAGCAAACTGCTTCATCAGAGATCTCCCTGAAGTGTGGGAGCTCTGGGGGAAGAGAGACCACATAAGGGGCTCAGAGGCTGTCTTCTCAAGTATCCTGTCCACTAGATATTTGATTTCTGAATATTCTTTCTAGTCTGTCCCATATTTCAGATGGATCACGGCCAAACATATACATCCTTGTGATCTTAGATGACTATATTCAACATTATTATAATGAATCAATATCATAGGTCAAATTCTAAAGAAAAAAATCTAATCTGGAGAAGTCTATTACAAATACAGAAAAAAAGAAAATACTTCTGATAGTTATATATATAGAAATAATTCCGAAAAGAACAGTTCTTTTTAAAGTTTAAGATTCCGAATTTAGTAAAATGTTTAGCAAAACACCTGTTCAATAAGGTAAATATGGTCTAACCAGAAGTAAGGAGACATACAAATAAAGTATTAAAATTGATTTAATGATTAAAGAGATGGAGGAAAACCTGTCAGTTGCAGAAAAATGAACCGATATTTTCCCCATTCTCGTTCTCAGGGAGATCCTTAAATTCTTATTACTTTGGTTGTAAATGTATTGAAAAATTAAAACTCAAATGGAACTTCCAGTCCTATCCAAGCAAAAACCCCAGGCAAAACCCAAAATGTGCCAAAAAACCAAAAACCGAACAAAAAAGAAAAGTCTAACTATGATCCAGTTTCCAGATGGTGATATCCATAAATGGGTAGAAGGTTACGAATTGCTAGTTCTCATGTCCCCACCAATAAAATGCAAACCAGCTCAGCAGTGAAAATTCCCAGGAAAGCAACGTTTCTTCTTAGTCCTCAAGCAGCCATCGCCTAAGTACAGCTCCCTGCAGCCAACAGCATTAATGGACGCTGCACTGCTGTCCTTCCCTGGAGACAGCAGCCAGCACTACTCAAGCTTCTCACGTAGCAACCAGAGCTCCAGAGCCAGCAGCTGCTGCTGCCTTGTATACTCACCCCGGTGACACAACCCAAAGGAACAACCTTCTCCTTACCCCACCCCCACTCCTTACACACTCTTTTTTTGGGGGGGTGGAGTGGGGTGGGGGGAGGACTAGTGTTCCATGCCAGGAGAGCTGGAATTCTGCCTTTAGAAAGAAACAATCCTAAAGTCACCCTTTTAGTTTGAACTAAGGCCTTTTATTAGAAAAATCAACATTTACCAAATTCCAAATATATATTTAATAAGCGAGCAATTTAGGAGTGCAGATTAAGCTTTAGTCTTTAAAAGGCCAATTTGCCAAACACTCTTTACAGTCAAATTTAAATCTGCAGTTAAAGACAGCAGCTTGTGTTATGTCCTACCAAAGGACATAATTCATTTTTCTATATATAATGACATGCTAGGTAAACTTTAAAGATTCTAATCCCATAATGGGCCAGAATTTTTGGCTACAGAAAAAACTAATGATCCTCCTGAGAAAACTGGTAGAAACCAATAAAAAAATTACCTCTGTCCTCCAAGAGGCCCAGAAACCTCTGATAATGTGAATATTCTCTGCTTTAATACTACCTCAGATTCCATACACCTAAAATTACCATTTATAATTTTTCTCTCAAAGTGACGTAAAAACATTAATGATATAAAACTAATCACCAAGAAATTTTCCCAAATACGGGGTACACATTCTCCTGAAAAGTTCAAACACTCAACTCAGCTGAATCCTCCCTCATCAAAGTATAGCTATGTAACTGCCCAACAAAAAAATGTTAATATGACCTTGGTTACATATCTGTTATTTAAATGTAACTCGTTTAATCAAGTGCTAAGGGAAATTAGCAGAGGACCTAGGGATTTTTTCCAGTACTACAAGAACGGGGAAAACTGGAAAAATGAACTAACTACAGACAAAGCCCAACGGAACCCAGAGGTCTGGGCAAGAAATGAGTTAGTGAACACACTGCACGAGTAACATGAGAAAGCAGAAAATGCAGGTCATACACGCACCCCTGACCCAGACCAGCAGAGCTGGCTCCAGCACCAGTATACACGGGAAAGACCAGTTATTCCTAACAAGTGAGACAAGCAAAGGAACTCTGTAGAATAAATGAGCAGAGAAGGGGCTTTCCCGACAGTTAAACTTTCCCTCTCACGCGATTCACCTACTTAAAACCAGGGCTCTTCCTCACCACCATTCACTTCGCATCCCTGGCTTCCGCACAGACGGAAAGGGAATTCATAAAGGCTACATTTTTCTGCCTTTAAAGACGTTCGCAAATGATCGCTCTCCACGCCCAAGGCAGGCAAAACGACACAATCTGGCTCCACTCCAAGCGAGAACCCTACAAATTCAGTAGGGCCATCTCAGAGATACTGGGGCAAACGCCACCGAGAGCCCAAGAATGCGAGCTGGGGGTGGCGAAGGTAACGTCTTTAGTGTGGGGAACGAAGCAATCATCTGCGATGGGGACCCTGGCCGAGAGGGAAGGCGTCCAGAAACATTCTGGGGGGGGGAGGGGGGATGGAGATCGAGGCCCCCAGAGGGATCAGAGTTGTCACAAGGCCGCGCGAACGGGGGTGGGGGTGAGGTTTGGGGAGGGGAAAGAAGTGTGCCTGTGTATTTTGAGGGGAGACCAGCGAGAGGCCTACCCTCAAGTAAAAGGTAAATGTGGAGTAGGCAGTTCCCAGGAAAAGGGATGAAGAGGCGTGGGGGGAGGGGAAACGTCCTGACCCAGGAAAGACGTGAAAAGGGTAGCGGGGTCGACGAGATTACCGACGGGGCCTCTCTGCCTGGGCAAGAGGGGTGCAACGGTGTGTGGGGGGGCGGCGAGCGGGATGAGAAGGGGCAGCATCCTCCTTGCTGAGGGCCTGGGGAGGGCCAGGCCCACGTCCCGAGAGCGAGCGCGGGGAGACGGAGGAGGTGACCCTTCCCTCCCCCGGGGCCCGGTCGTGAGGGTAGGTCTCGCTTTTCTGTCGGACCCTTACCTTGTCCCAGGCCTGGGCCCGGGCTGCGGCGCACGGCACTCCCGGGAGGCAGCAGGACTCGAGTTAGGCCCAACGCGGCGCCACGGCGTTTCCTGGCCGGGAATGGCCCGTGCCCGTGAGGTGGGGGTGGGGGGCAGAAAGGCGGAGCGAGCCAAAGCCAGGGAGGGGGAAGGGCCAGGGAAGGAAGGGGGGACGGCACTACAGTGTTGGCGGACTGGCGGGACTGGGGCTGCGTGAGTCTCTGAGCGCAGGCGGGCGGCGGCCGCCCCTCCCCCGGCGGCGGCGGCGGCGGCGGCGGCGGCGGCGGCGGCGGCAGCAGCTCACTCAGCCCGCTGCCCGAGCGGAAACGCCACTGACCGCACGGGGATTCCCAGCGCCGGCGCCAGGGGCACCCGGGACACGCCCCCTCCCGCAGCGCCATTGGCCCCTACGCCCACCGCCCCGCACTCATTGGCCAGCTTGCCGCCAATCAGCGGAAGCCGCCGGGGCCGCCTAGAGAAGAGGCTGTGCTCTGGAGCTCCCGCTCCTCAGAGAGCCTCGGCTAGGTAGGGGAGCGGGACTCTGGTGGGAGGGGGAGCCTGGCGGTTTGGCGGGGGTTGGGGGGGGGGGGGGGGGGCGGCCCCCCCCCCTGCCGATGCAGGGGACACGGGTTCGTGCCCCGGTCCGGGAGGATCCCACATGCCG